CACAGGGCCCTTCACTACCTGGATCCCTGTCTCCAGATGGCCCGGGGCATGATAACAATACCCATCATCACGGGTTATGGATACAAAGGCATTTGTTTCTCTATACTATTTTAGATGCTTGAAATATATATTTTTTGAAAAACAAGGAGTATAAATACACTCTCAGACCTCCACCACCTAATGCTTTTATCTATTAACACTACCCCCAAACACATTAAACAGTCCTTAGGATGTATTATATTGAAAATAACAAGTGATTTTATGCATCCGTTCTGAATTATGTCCTCAAAAATACGTGTTGTGAATTCTAACCTCTATACCTGTGGTTATAGTCTCATTTGGGAATAGGTTGTCTTTGTTATGCTAATGAGACAGGATTAGTATAAGGTATATCTTGAGTTGATCTCTTTTGAGATATAAAAAAGATTAAAAAATAGCACAGAAGAGATGGGGTACGATGGATGCCAAGACACGTGGAGATCTCCAAAGACCCAGAAGCAGAGGTTGAAGAGACAAGAACCTTCCTCCAGAGCCACTGCAGAGAGGACACCTTCCCCAAGACCCAGCCTTCTGAATTCGGACTTCTCACCTTCAAACTGTTCAGAAAATAAATGTTCGTTTGTTAAAGCCCTCTACTTGTGGGACTTCTGCTATAGTGGCACTAGATGATTAAGATAGTATCTTACCTTAAAGTGCAGATTCTTGGCTTGAATAAAGAATGATGGGGGCACACTAAGCTGTTGCTTAAAAGGAATGGTCACAAGAGACATACCATGTTCATGGACTGAAAGGCTCACTGTAGCAGAGATGTCAACCCCCCCACACACACACACACACTGCTCTATAGGCTTAATGCAAGTCCTATAAAAATTTCAGCAGGTTTTTTTATAGACATAGACAAAATTATTTTAAAATTTATATGAAAAAAAGACTATAATAGCTAAATAATCTTGAAAAAGAAGAAAAAAGTGGAAGGGATCCCTTTGCCTGATATTAAGGCTTACTACATAGCTACAGCAATTAAGACAGTGTGGTGTTGGTGAAGAGGTAAACACAGAGACCAATGGAATAGAATAGAGTATCCAGAAATAGACTCATACAAATACACTCAACAGATTCTTCATGAAGGGGCAAAAGCAATTCAGTTGGGGGGGGGCTAGAATGGGGGGAGATGGCCTTTTCAACAAATGATGCTGGAGCAGGGGGCCATTCAGAGGCAAAAAAAAAAAAAAAAAAAAGAAGAAGAAGAAGCTCTACCAAAATCACACTCCTCATCCAAAAATGAACAGAAAGTATTGGGGTTTTACATGTAAAATCTATGACTATAAAACATTTAGGAAAAAAGAGAAAAACCTTTAGGATCTAGGGTCAGGCAAAGTGTTTAGACTGGACACCAAAATCACAATCCATAAAGAGAATACTGGTAAATTGGAGTATATCACATTTAAAAACTTGCTCTGAGAAAGTTCCTGTTAAGACGATGAAAAGATAAGCTAGACTAGGAGAAAATATTTGCAAAACACATACTTGACAAAGGACTAGTATCTGCGACTTACAAAGAACTCTCGAAGGTAACAGTGAAAAAACAAACAACCCAATAAGAACATGTGCAAAGGTTGTACACAGACGTTTTACTGAGGAAGACACATAACCAAAAAAAATCCCAAACTCACTGCCGTCGAGTTGGATCCCACTCACGGCAACCCCTCCTTGGGTTTCCAAGGCAGTATCTCCATGGAAGTAGATTGCCCAATCTTCCTTCCAAGGAGTGGCTGGTGGGTTTGAACCACTAGCCTTCTGCTTAGCAGTCTTAACTAGGCACTATGCCACCAGAGCTCCCAGGAAGATATACAGAAGAGATACATATTTCCATGTGTAAATAGCACATGGAAAGATATTCAACATCATTAACCTCTAAAGACATGCCAATGAAAACCACAATCAGACATTATTATATACCTATCAGAACGGGAAGACTGGGCAATCTACTCCCATAGTGATGCTGCTTCAGAAACCCAAGGACGGGTCGCTGTGAGTCAGATCCAACTCGACAGCAGTGAGTAGTTGTTTGTTTTTTTTTTAAATCAGAATGGCTAAAATAAGAACTAATGATAATACCAAATGTTAATGAAGATGTGGAGAAACTGGCTTACTCAGACATTGCTGATGGGAATCTAAAATGGTGCAGCTACTCTAGGAAATGACTTGGCAGTTTCTTACAAAACTGAACAAGTAATGACTATATGACCCAGCAATTGCACTCTTGATCCTAGAATAATGAGAACTTATGTTCATCACCCCCATATTGCACACGAATGTTCACAGCAGCTTTATTTGCAATGTTGTTGCTCTTACGTGCCGTCGAGTCATCTCCAACTTATAGCAACCTTATGTACAATAGAATGAAACACTGCCCAGTCCTGTGCCAGCCTCATGATCCCTACTATACCTGAGCCTATTGCTCTAATATTTGTAATAGCCCCAAACTATTTCCAGACCCATATATACTTTAATGGATGAACGGTTAAACAGTATCCAAAGCACAGAATACTATTCAGTCATGAAAAGGAACAAATCACTGATACAATAATTCAGATAAATCTCATAGGAAAAAGGGAAAAAAATCAACTGAAAAAGGTTACATACTACATGATCAAATAATGTAGCATTTTTGAGTATTATGTAAATTATAGAAATAGAGACAGGATTCGTGGTTGCCAGAGGTTAGGGAGGGGGGCAGTGGGAGATATATACAACAGAGCAATAGGAGGAATCCTTGTGGTGATGGAACTGTTGTGTATCTTGACCGTATCAATCTCAATATCCTGATTGTGATATTGTACTATGGTTTTGCAAGAGGTTGTCATTGGAGGAAATTGGATAAAGGACACACAAGATCTCCATGTATTATTTCTTACTACTGCAAGTGCAATTATTTCAAAATAAAATTTTAACTTAGAAACATTTATGCCGTTTCTATCCCCTCTCTGACCCTCCCTACCCACCTGTTGTTGTTGAGGCAGCTCACTCACAACGACCCAATGGGCCAGAGTCCAGCTGCTGCACAGGGTTTCCTAGACTATATCTTTATGGGAAGAGATCACCAGGTCCTTATCCCAGGGAACCACTGGGTAGATCTGAACCACCAACCTTCTGGTTAGCAGGCGAGCTGCTTAACCACTGTGCCACCAGGCCTCGTTCCCTCCGCCCTACCTAGGAATCTGGAACAGATGGGAGGTGGGGGACCCAGGCTTATCTAAGGCTGGGGATCTTTCCCACTCTCCCTCCCCTCTTTAGGGCAGTAAAGAAGCACTGAATTGGTGGCTGCTTACACTTGAAATCTGGACAGGCGTGGCCTGACGTCTTCAGTCTCCCATCCCCACAACTCTGAGTTCTGCAGGGCTGGAGGTCCCGCTCCCCAAAAGGAACACAGTCACCAGGAAGCCTAGCAAGGGGCCCATTGAACTACACCCTGTGCTGCTGCCTGGGCACTTTAGGAACAAGCAAGCAATGAGAGGGGTGACCATCTTAGTGGGGTAATAACTTGGCCAGCAGAAGGACGCACGGGTGCGTTCACACAATGGGAGGGGGCGGGGAGGAATATGGATGGAGCTCGGGGACCCATTTGAGTGCCTCTTGGCACTTTTTGCCCAACTGTGTCTGAATGGACAAGCACCGCCAACCTGAAAAGCGTAAGGGGACCAAAGCGTTCAGCCCCCTCAGGGTCATCTGACGCATGACCCACTGAGACAAGCGAAAGAGCCAGCAGGGGGCAATGGGGATTTAGGACGGAGGGAGCTGCTCAGTTGTAGCTCTGAAACCCACTGCAGCACCGAGGGTTGTACTTCCTGGCACTTACCTCCCTCTTCCGAGTGTGTCCTCAAGGCCCTGCTCAGTCACCGTGCAGGGGCTTCATTGAGAAGAGGGCCCGAACCAGCCCCGAAGGAACTAGGAGTTCAAGGCTCTTGGAAGGCGCGCAGGGTCCTTTCTTGAAAGGAAGCCGTAGGGTGGGGGCCCGTATCTCTATGTTTACCTGTGGGCCAGAGGCGTCCACAGCAGAGCAAGCCCCTCTGTGGAAGCAAATTTCAAGTCTCTGCGCGCATCGTCTCTGCTGAGGCCCCATTGGGTGAAGCAAGTCACGTGTCTTGGTCCCAAACTCACGTGGTGATGAGGTATCAACTCCGCCCACCTGGAGGTCGCGGAGAGGCTGGCAGTGCCAAACTGGGACCAAAAATTACAGCTACTACACCGTTTGTTAGGAGCTCTGGTAGCATAGTGGCTAAGGCACTTGACTGCTAACCAGAAGGCTGGCGGTTCAAACCCACCAGCCACTCCTGGAAGGAAGGTTGGGCAATCTACTTCCGTAGTGATACCGCCTCGGAAACCCAAGGAGAGGTCGCTGTGAGTCGGGTGGGCACATAACAACAACACGGTCCGTTGTGTTAAAGGCCCTTTGTAACCCCTGGAGCTCTGGTCGTACTAGTTATACTTATCGCTTGCCCAGGAGAGCAGGACACCAGGCCCGGAAGTACCCAGGATGCACGCAGAGGGCGGTCTCGTGACTGAAAAGCACATATCGGGCTGTGCTGTCGGGCTTACGGACCTGGGAGTCGCGTCTGCGGTTTTAGTATTCAGAAGGCCCCAAGAAACCCAAAGCAACCACTTTGCAGAGTCCCTGCCAGGCGGCTCTAGGCCCTTGGTGCACCTCAGCCTGGAGGAGCAACAGCAATTTGGGGCGCTGGCTGGGGCGCCATCTGCCGAGCTTGATGAGTGATGAGCTGCGGGCTGAGTCGTGGCCCTGGGGGAGGCACTTAGCGCTGGAGCTCGGCCATTCTCTGGAAACTCCTCTCCTCCTCCTTCTCTTCCCCTCCTTCTCTTCTGGGAGGGCCAGACGCTCCATCCTGCCCCGCGCAGGGCGCAGGGCGCAGGGCGCAGGGCGATCCTGATCTGCGAGGATGGAGGCTGAGGGGCCGGCCTAGCCTGGCAGGCACTGCCTCCAGGCGTCAGGCAAGCCCTTCCCTTGCCTCTGCTGCCTCGTGACCTATGCGCTGGTGGGGGCCAATCTCTTCTCTGCCAGGACCTCAGAGCGGACGGCCAGAAGTTTGAGGAGTTCTTGGAGAAACTCTGTGACATCTTGAAATGCAACAGAACAGGTAGGCGGCACTCTGGGCAGGACAGCCTTTTCTCAGAGGTCTGCCTTGTAGGAGACTGGGTCCTCCCCGCATTGAGTAACCTTAAGCAAGTGGCTTCACCTCTCTGAGTCTCAGTGTCTTCCTCTGTAAAATGAGGAGAATAAGGACCCGTAGGGGCTGCTGTGAAGAAGGGTTGAGAGGGTTTAGGAACAACAGGACTATAAGCTAGGTGCTCTGGAAGGCCTACTTCCAGTCCCTTTGCCTCAGCTCCCAGTTGTCAGTTTTGCCCAGGCCAGTAGGCTTAGGGAGCATGGATTGCTGGGGTTGAGTGGGGTGAGTTGGATGCTGAGTTTTGGGCCTGGGGTTCCTAGGTTGTTCCTCAGAATGACTGCCTCGGCCCACGGCTTGGCATGCAGGAACTAGAATTCAAGGCATGGTCCCAGCTGAGCTTGGACCCCAAGACAAGCAGCCTGTCTCCTTTACCCTTCCACTTTCTGTTTCTAAAGTGTTCTCTGTGGTCAGACTCTGGGGGGAGAGGAGGGAGGTGAGAAGTACTTGGGGACCTGGTGCTAGTTCTGGTTGCTGTGTGATTTGGGGCAGTGCCCTTGGCTTCTCTGTGTCTTAGTCTGTGGAAGAGAAGGGGGCCCACAAGTTCAGGCCTGCCAGTCATAGGGACCCTGTGAGAAGCAGAAGAGATCATGAACATGAAGACTTTTGGGAAAGCAGAAGGTACCTTACATATGTCCCTACTGCATCTCATTTGTAATGTATTATATTTTCATTTTCACTTGTATTTAGTCACTTATTTATTCTCTGCCCTGCTCCCCAAAGGAAGCTTGCAAGGGTGTATTCTACAGTCATGGGGAGAACAGGGTCTGGGAGGCCCCCTCCCCCAGCTGTTTAGACCAGTATGGTAAGCCCTCTGTGTGGTGGGTTCTTAGGACGGTGGGCTCTCAGGAAGGTGAGCCCTCAGTGTGGCAGGTCCTCTGTGTGGTGGACCCCCTCAGTGTGGCAGGGCCTCAGGGTGGCAGGCCCTTAGTGCGACTGCCCGTGGCTCTTCCCACAGGCTAGACCTTGCTTTGTGAACAGGGTCTTTCAGCTGAGCCTGATTGGAGCCTGGTCAAAGGGCACAGTCTCCCCTCCATGGAGGGCCCTACCTCCTCTGTCTGCATCATTTAGGGCAGATGGACACACACCTATTTGACTGACCTAGGACATGTTATCACCACCAGCTTGGACACTCCCAGCCATCATAGGGTCCCAGACAATCATCAAGTGTGGGGCTTTCAAAGCCAGGCCACATGACAGAATCCTCCAGGGAGCATGTTTAAAGCACACATTCCCAGGCTTTGCTGCAAACCCTCTAAATCGGATCTCCAAGATTGGCCTGGGACACTCATTTTTAAAAGCTTCCAAGATGATTCTATACATAACATGGTGTGGGAAACAGAGAGCTAGTTGGACCTCCATTCTGCCCAATTTTTGTCAGAGACTGTTATGTTCAATCAGTGGACCTAAGTGCATACCCTGAGCTGAGCACTTTCCATGCACTGCGTCCCTCAACCCTCACAACTACCCTATGAGGCGGGTGTGCATCGCTGTCTCCCTTTTATAGATCAGGAACCTGAAGCATGGGGGATCTGAAGCTGCCTGCCCAAAGCCACAACTACACAGTCGAGCTGGGGGTTCAGCCCCAGGCAGCTGGACTCCAGAGCCCAAGCTCTTAACCATTGTGTTGTGGTACCTCCCAGATGGGGAAACTTTCTAGCAGCCTCTTCTCTGTGGCTACCCGATCTAATCATGGTCAGAGTTAGGTCTCCATGCAGGTGCCCAGACACTCAAGCCGGTGCCATTCAAAGAAGTAGTGACCTCCTACCGTGTGCCAGATTCAGTGGCATTCTCTTTTGTCACATCAGAGACAAGTGGGTGACTTCTTATATCCCCAAGCCCAACAAAACCATTTAGGAACCTCCCTGAGAACTCAGGGCCCAGTCCTGTTCTGTTGGCCCTGGGAGCGATGTCTTGGAAGCCAAGACTTTGGAGCCCTGGAAGAGGGATCCTTAGGCAGCTGGTGCCCACAGGTCTGAGTGTGATGACCCAGTTCCATCAGGCTTAATGACCTGCAGGAGTGGGGACAGTTGGCATCCATATGACAGCTTGAACTTCATCAAAGCCTTTTGCTTTCAGTTCTCAAGAACCTGTGACAGACATGAAATAGCACTTTCCTTTTGCAAAGTGAAGGAAACAGAGGGCTGACAAGTTAAAGCCTCATAGGGCTGCACAGCAATTCTGCCCACAGACCCCTAACCCCATGGGCTGCTCAGTTGGGTGCCCTTCTCAGTGGCCTCATCCCTGCAGGGACCAGAGGCAGTAGCTCACTTGTAGAAACATCTTGATGGAGGGCTCTGAGGTGGTGTGGATGGAGGCACAGGACATGGGGGCTGCTGGTCACTCACTTGGGAAAACTCCATCCCCTTTGTCTGGGTGGGACCTGTCTTGAAGGGCAGGACACGTGCTTACTCACCCTGGTAGTCTCTTTCTCAAGTTGAGGAAGGCAGTAAGCAGACTCTCCATGGCTGCTGAAGAAGGTGAAGCCCCAGGGGTTGTCCAGGTTCTCAGACTGGTCCTTCCTGAGCTCTTTTTCTGCTGCACAGTCCTTACCACCGTGGGTAAGTGCAAGGATAAAGGCATACCTGCCTTCTGGCCTCCTCCTGCCTGCAAACCATAGTCTGCCTAGGAGAGAGACCAATGGGAAGCAGGCGGCTGGGAACTCCATGATGGGGATGCTGGGATGTTCACTCATTTAGTGCACGAAACAGTTGTGGAGGACCTCCTCTGCCAGGCCAACTGTGCATGGTGGGCACTGCCCCAGTGCAGCAGATGCAGCAGTGAGCAGGGCTGCCTTGCCCTTCCTCCAGGTGAAGAGAGGTGAACAGGAGGGTGCAACCCCATGCCCAGGCATAGGTCCCAGTGAGCCAGGTATGGCCAAGAGCCCGGCCTTTCTTGGCCCATGGCTGAGGGACTTGTGCAAAGCACACACTGCCAACTGTACATGGCTGCCCGGCAGTGAACAGAGCACATACGATCAGGCTGTCACGGAGCCCCTGGGCAAGACAGACGCCATCAGGGGCAACCACAATGTGGTTAGTGCACAAGCGTGATATGCTAGGGTATTCCGGGAGCAGAGAGTGTGGGCAGCTGTGAGCACATTTGAAAGGCCCCCTGGAGGGGCTACAGCCATGCTGAGTCTTAGTGGGGGAGCAGGGGTTGCAGGGTGGGGGAAAGGGGGCGTGAAGAAGAGACTGCATGCCACGAGGACAGCACGAACAAAGGCCTGTAGCGGAACAATGCCAGGCTTTATGCACAGGTTGAGCTGGAGGTGAAGAAAGTTGAGAGACAGACAGTGGGAGACCTGCAAGCCGGGCCTAAGGAGTTGGGTTTATCCTGATGACAGTGGGGAGTTCCAGAGCACGTGAAACAAGGCAAGGACACGGTCGCTTAGTATCCCAGAAGGGTCACCACAGCTGTCCTGGCCAGGGTGGACCGGAGAGGGTAAGGGGGTGACAAGGAGACCACTGGGCACAGCACGGGAGCCTTCGCCAGGACCGGGGCCCATCACTCAGTGCTTCCTCTCTTGGCCACTGAAGAGGACTGGGTCCTCTCTGCACTCAAGAGAGAAGATACTGACCCTCGGGACGCACCCTGTGTCCTCTCCCACTTGGAGCAGGGGTGGACCCCAGGGACCCACCAGGGAATCTGCAGGCTGGCTCCCTCCAGTGAGGGACATCGCCCCTCTGAGCCTTGTTCCTAGTCTATAAGCCCTCCTAGGCCTGCCTCTCAGGGTCAGCTGAGGCCCTTCAAGTAAGTAGCAGCCAGGATGCCTTCAGCTGATTGAACAGTAAACCCAATTGGCTTAAACTTATCACCTCACAAGTGAAAGTCCTGTGGGAGGGCAGCTCAAGGGCTTGGTCAGTGTGCAACTCAGCTATGGCTTTGAGGTTCAGGTTCAGAGTCATGAGATGGCCACCATGGTCCACATCCCCTGTGCACACACCACACCTAACAGAGAGGGCTGGCCGGCTTGTCCTGGGGGTGTCAGAATCAGCAGGGATACTCTTCCCGGAAGCCCCCGTGGTCCTCTCCCCACCCCCAAGATAGGCCCTGGCAGGGGCACTGGATTCCCACAAGTGGCCACAGCAATCCAGATCTACCTCTAAGTTGGGGGGGGAGCAGAAGCTGCCCAAACAAAATCAGGGAAGGAGGGGCAGCAGGGTGGCTGCTGAGTGAGCAACCACGGTGTCTGCTGCAACGTACTTTATAAATGGACCCACGAGCTCCAGCAGGGCTCTTACACCGCACCAGGCTTCTTTCAGAGCTGCTCTCACTCACTTGAATGCTGATACAGGCAGGGACACGTGGTGGGCCGGCAAAATAGGAACAGTGGCATGATTAAACACTTCCTAGCACTTACTACTGACTGTGTCAGGATACAGGCGTGTTATATGAGATGGTAATGCCTCATATGTGTTACAAGGAGCTCTGGTGGCACAGTGGTTAGGAAATTGAGCTGCTAACCAGAAGGTTGGCTACTTGAGCCCACCAGCTGCTCCTAGGGAGACCGACGAGGCAGTTTGCTTCTGTAAAGACTTACAGCCTTGGAAACCGCACAGGGCAGTTGTACTCTGTCCTATGGAGTCACTATGAGTCAGAATCGACTCAGCGGTGATGGGTTTGGTTTGGTTTTTTTATGCATTATCGAACGGTCACAACAGCCCTATGAGGGAGGGGCTGCTGTTGTCCCACCTGACAGGTGAACAGGCTAAGGCTTCGAGAGGGAGTCACTGCGAGCAAGAAGGGGGGCTGAGGTCAAGCCCCACCCCCCAACCTTTCAGAGGGACCGACAGCTCAGGGGTCATCTTTGAGGGGACAACGGTTACAGGAGTGCAGAGACTACAGGGAGGATCCTGGAGATGAGCAAAGAGGCAGGAGTTTGGGGTTCAGTTTGTCTGTTTCCTCAAGAACCTTGGCGCTGCTGGCATTTTGATCTGGATAATTCTTTTTGTGAGGGGCTGTGTGTTACAGGATGGTTGGAAGCATCCCCAGCCTCTACCCACTAGATGCCTGTAGCTCCCCTCCCTAGTTCCAACACGTCTCCCGACATTGCCAAAGGCCCCTTGTGGGGTAACCGCCCTGTAATTGCCGTTGTCCGCGGCCCTCATGGTTGCTGCTGACATTCCTAAGTGCGTCCTGACGGCCCTAGGGGCACCAGGCCGAGCTTGGGTGTGGCAATCTCTGCTGCTGCCCTGGGTCCCGGCCTCTCCTAAATCACTGAGGTCCCGCTGTTCCACGGCAGGCTCCCAGCACCCTTCTTGCTCTTCTTCCCAGTTTCAGAGAACCTCTCCTCTCCCTCCTCCGCACTAAGGTAACCAACTGTCCTCATTAACCCAGGACAGCCCCGGTTTCAGCACTGAAAGTCCCATGTCCGGGAAACTCTTCAGGCCCTAACCCCAGCCCACTGGTCCTCCTGTCTGCTGCCTACCTCTGCCCCTTCCCCTTTCTTCTCCCTCAGACTCCCCCATGATCTCCTTAGGGGTTCTGGGCTTTCACTGAAGCCTGGGAGGGAGGCGGTCTTCTTCTGTAACCCCTGCTCCCTGAGGCCCTAGCCTCATAGCTGCTGGAGCCCCTATAGGATGACCCTATAGGATAGAGAACTGTCCCATACTGTTTCCAAGGCTGTAAATCTTTACAGAAGCAGACTGCCTCATCTTTCTCCCATGGAGCAACTGGTGGGTTCAAACCATCGACCTTTTAGTTAGCAGGGGAATACCTTAACCCCTGAGCCACAAGAACTCCTTCTTCAGGGACTAGGGAAGGGGAAATATAGGCAATCAAAACCCACTCTCTTGGCAAGTTGTCCTGCCCCATGGGACAAAGCAGGTTTCAGATGGCAGATTTAACCACTGTGACATCTCCACTCCTAAGCCCTGCTGTGTGTATCTATCACGGCCTTGCTGTGTCTGCAGGGATGGTGGCCAGCCAAGCTGAAGGCTTTCCTTCCCTCTGGACCGGGAGTGTCTACAAGACAAGGCCCCTGCTTGTTCCTCCTTGTATTCCCCTTGCCCACAAGTGTCCAGCATGAAGTAGGTGCTCAAGAAATGTGAAATGAACGTATTCATTCATTCAACACACTCACGGATGTACCAGGCACTATTCCAGGTACTGGGGGTCCAGTGATGAATGAAACAGAAAACCCCGCCCCAATGGAGTTTACACTGGAGAGGCAGACAAGGAACAAATGCCTAAACAGTATGGAGAACAGTGAAGGAGGGAGAGGAGGGGGAGGTGGAAAGGATAGAGGCTGCCATTCGAAATGGAGTGAGTGCTTAGAGAAGAGCCCCCGAGAACGCCACGTTGGAACAGAGTTGAAGGACGTGAGGGAGTAAGCCATATGGTTATCTGGAGCTAACAGATGAGGCGCTTCGAGGCCACAGCCCTCTGGACCCTGCTGAGGGTGGGCGACCTGGGCACCTGGGTGCTCCTGGAGGGCATGGGGAGCTGCAGCCCTGCAGAGGGTGGAGTTCGGCCATCCTATGAGTCTGCAAATTAGTTTACCTAATCAAGCTGGGGTGGGTTTTTTTTTTTTTTTTTTTCTGAATTAATTATCCTTTATGACGTCAGCAATTAAACATGGTCATTAAACACAAAAGCTTTGCCTCTGCTTGTTGAAGTCATGGAATCTTGCCCACCTCAGAAGGTGCAACCACTTGGGCTGTGGGGTTTGGCCTCTCTCTGCCCCTGTCCCCTCTGGAGACAGGGTAGACAGGGGGTGCGGCGGGAGTGGCTCCTGAAGAGCGTGGAGGCACCTCAGCCCATCCCTCCCTTTGCTTGACTGACCGCTTGCCGCCAGTGGAAGGGTTCTGCCCTCAGGGATGATCCCGACCAAGGGGAGGTTGAGAGCATTGGTGTGGGACAGCCCTCTGGGTTTCATACCAACTCTGTTTCTGATCAAATGTATGTTCATGGCCAAGTCATTTCATTCCTGTAGCCCGTGCCTCCCCATCTGTGAATGGTGATAACAGTACCGACCTATGAAGGCTGGTTGATGCCCAGCCCATGGGAAGTACTCAAAAGGCAGCTATTATCCCTCTCCAGAGACAAGACACCAGCATTTGTGAATCACCCACTGTGTGTCCGGCACTGGTCTCATATAATCCTCCCAACCAGCCAATATGCCAGTAGACACTGGTATCCCCATTTTATAGGTAAGAATCCTGAACATGTGAACAGTTAAGTAAATTCCAGTATGTTGTAGAGCTGGGATTTGAACTGAGAACCATCAGATTCTGGCTGCAGAGATCCTAACCACATCTGCTAAACCACAAATGGCTGTGAGGGCAGCAACTGGATCTTATTCATTTCTCCCTTTCTATCATCCCAAATACTGTACACACTTTTGCTCACGTTGGCACATAACTAATGCACTACTCAGTGACCGATGTGGTTAGCTTTCAAAGACCATGGCCATTATGTGAAAAGCAGTGTTAGGTGAAAATAGAGAATGACTATGTCAACTCGCAAAATGGAGCATGACTACATCAATACATGGCTGCCAAATCACCTCACCACATAACTTCCAAATTGCACCAGTACACAACTGCCGAACCACCGAGAGTCATGGCCCAGCCAAGCTGACACACAACTTAACTGTCACAGCCAGTGTTGCTCTCACCTCACACCTCGGCGTTTGTTACACCTCGGCCACATACACATTGTTACCGTACAAAATAGTTGGACAGTAGATTTTTTACTATTGTAAATTTTTTATTATTGTAAATGCAAAATGTTGGATAATGAGATAGTTGGAAGAGTGGAGTCATTAAATGCCTATTACACATAGAAACAAATGAACTGAGAGGCACCGCCTCCCAGAGAGGACAAGGTTGAAAGCCACACCTGTGGAGGATGCAGGGGCGGAGGGCATGACCGTGAGGCCGCCCTCACTGCTCTCCCACCTGCACTCATCTGTCCTTCCAGCTGAGCCCAGCCCATCCTCATACAAATGCTCGGAAGTGGCCGTGGCAAAATGCAGGATAGTCGCCTCGCCTCCAAACATGTGCTGCTCCTTTGCCAAGGTCATTGTGGATCCCCTAAGCAGCTCTAATGCCAGACGGATGAAACCATAAACCAAACTCACTGCCATGGAGTCAGTTCTGACTCACAGCAACCCCTCTGGGTTTCCAAAGCTCTAGATGTTTACCTAAGCAGACTGCCTTATCTTTGTTCCGAAGAGCAGCTGGTGGGTTCAAGCCACCAACCTTCTGGTTAGCAGCCAAATGCCTTAACCACTACACCACCAGAGCCCAGATAGGTGGATGAATATTTTAAGATGAGTACTTCGAAACACATTGTACAAAATGTCATGCCAAGGAGGGGACATGGTAGGGGTCTCTTTCTGGGGGTTGGCAGGGAAAGAGTGTAGCAAAGACAGCAGTCCCATTTTTGTCTTCTTTCCCAGGTTACGGCCACAGGCACCCCGTCACTAGGCTGGGCAAGTACCTGTGCATCTGTACACGCTCTTAGGTGTCCCCCTCATTTCCTGGTCCTCACGGACATGGGCGACATCCTGGCAGCCATCTTATCCACATCTTACAACAGATTCTGGAAACTTTCCAGACCCGTCACCTCCCCGGCTGGTGCCCGACTGCTCTGCAAGAGAAGGCCCGATGGCAGGCCTGAGGACGTAGCCATCCGCAGGTGAACATCGGTGCTGAAGAGCTCCCGGGCCTCAAGCCTGGTGGGGCCCTGCAGCCCAGAACCGCAGCCCAGAACCACTGGAGTGACGTCCTGCACCAGAGAAGCAGAACCCGCAGCAGCTGCCCCCGCGAGGCACGGAGAGGAGCAGCTCGTGCCCGAGCTGGTGTCGGGGAGATTCTCCTCCTCCGTCATCAGCAACCTGGATGAGGTGGGACGGCAGCTGGAGAGGTTGGACGGGCCCCTCCCCATCACCGGCCTTGTTGTTTCCGCCCGCATTTCCTGCGCAGCTGCCGTTCTCCCATCTGGGGGATGCACATGGCCTTCAGGAATGCCTTTTACTTCTGCCTCATCACACTGACCATCATCGGGTTTGGGGATGTCCTTTTGGAGCATTCATATGTTGTCATGCTCTGTTCTGTTTGTATCGTCATCAGTGTGGAGATTGTGCGATGGCTTTCAAGTTGGTGCAGAACAGGTTGATTCACATGTACAAAAAGCTCATGTTGTTCTTTGCAGGCATAATGCCTAAGGCATTTGACTGCTAACCAGAAGGTGGGTGGTTCAAACCCACCAGCCACTCCGGAGAAGGAAGATGGGGCAATCTACTTCCATAAAGATTTACTACCTCAGGGTTGCTATGAGTTGAAACCGAATAGATGGCAGTGATTTTTTTGTTTGTTTGTTTGTTTTGGTTCTTTGCAGAAAGGAAATTCTGCCACTCTGTGAAAAAGTGAAGGGCTGCCGTCTGTCACAGGGTGGACATTAGCCAAACAGGCTTCCTCGGCTTGTCTTTTGGGACAGCATGGGTAGAGCTGGTAGCACTGCGGCCTGTCATTCTGTATGTTGGGACTTGGAAACAAAGCCTGTGTGAGGACTTATGGAGCCACCGTGAGTCTGAATTGACTCAACAGCAACAAACAACAACAACACATTACGCAAATATTTCAGTCCTGAAGCCCTGCAGACATCTGGCCAACACCCTTCCTCTCAGGACATTAGGAAGCTTAAAGAAAGAAAACTGGCACATCACCCAAAGTCCAGTTCCTTTCCCTGTTGCCATTTTTAAAAAGCACCACCTTATCTGGGTGAGACTTTATGGATGTCACAGATTTTCTTACGATGCCAGAAAAAAGTACACGTGTTCTTTGAATTTGTACTTCCTAAGATGCCCCCCATTGACCCTTGATGAAGCCCTATGTGCACACCATTAGCACATGATAAATGTTTATTGTATGGAAAAAATGAACTGAGAAGCCCAGGCATCCCAGAGAGGACAGGGGTAGAGGATGCAGGGGCTGAGGGTAGGACTGTGATGCCACCCCCATGGCCCTCTCACCTGAGCTCGTCCTGTCCTTCCAGGTGAGCCCAGCCCATCCTTGTGCAAATGCTCAGAAACGAGGAGGAGATGAAACCCTGCTTCTCTGGAATAAGGAGCAACTCATTTCCAGACCCTTGACCCACAGCGTCCTTGGCAAGAGAGCAATGAACATTTCTGGAGCACCCCCTTTCCTTGAAGGGCCTGCATGGATGCACACAGAACCAGCCCTATGCCAGCCCCCATACACTACATTGATGCCACTGAGCAGGACGTCATCTGTGCTCACAGGGGCCTGGGGTCTTTCCCGATCGCCAGATTCTGTGTAGACCACCAATTAGCATATGATTGGCACTCCTGAATGAGTTAGCACATGAAAGTGTTGATCCCTAACCAAATGGACTGGCACACAAAAGGGTTGGCACTTACTAAGAGGATATCCCCCCTGAGCTGTTCATGAATGAGTCGGCATGTGTGTGAGCTGGCACTTAGCAGATGTTGCAGGTACCCTACCCATATCTCCAGCACTCCAGCTCCAGGCTAATTCCTATGAGGTGGAGGTCAGACGTGATGCCACCTTCCAACCCTCTTGCCAGTTCTGACACCAACCATCCCTTCCATGGCATTCTCTCTTTCTCTGCTGGGTTCAATAATTTACTGCCATTGCCACACAGAATTCACATACCATACCCACCCGTGATCAGGGGTTAATTAGGGAAGTAACAGGTCACAGTTCAGGATCAGAAACAACTCAGGATAGAGTTCTTGAATCAGGACCACTTCTCAGCCATGCCACAGGCATATGTCTCCTGGCCTGGCCTCTGCCCTGCTCAGGAAAGTGTTACAAAGCTCTTTTTGCTCTGTGGGCTGGCAAGCTCACCGCTCTTTCTCATGCCAGTCTCTTGCTTCTACTGTCTCTGCCACTGCTGTCTCTCTGCCATCTCAGTGCAGGGACCTTGGGTCTAAGGACGTGCCCCACACCTGGCTCATGTCTCTCGATAGCTGTGAGATGCCCCTTTTCTGCCTCTGAGATGACTCATTTAAAGCTGAGCAGGATGGCAAAACTGACCAATCCCCAGGTTAGGGTTCCAGACACCTTACTTGCATCGTCCCATCCCCTACAAGGTGCCACATACCTTATTTACATTATTAACAAGCTTCCAATCCCCTTGGTGGACCACAAGCACCTTACACTTGCATAGTCCTATCCAGTCATCTGCTAGGAGTCACAGACCAAGGCTAGAAGAGCCATATTAAGTATTCACTGCACCACAGACTCTCTCCCCTGAGATGTGGGTGGAACTGCTCTGGGATACCCCTGGAGCACTAGGGTTTTGTCAAAGGTCCCAGGTGATGCCCTTATGCAGCCAGAGTTGAGAACCAGGCCTGCTCTTTTGGCCCGAAATGCCCTTCCACCTTCCAGGACAGATGAAGACTTACCTTCGAGGCTCAGCCCGGATGTCCCCTCCTTTACTTTTGGGAGTAGCGTCCTTGGCTCCCCGACGCTGCACTGCACCAGCCTGTCCCTTGATACACACTGTGACGGGCTGCTCACCGCTTGTCTCCTCTCCCTGGCTCTGCACTGCTCAAATGAAAAGAAAGACTTTCTCCCCAACCCTGTCTCCTCTCCCTTTCATCCACCCACTCCACCTCACAGCGTCTGCCACACATGGGAGGACTCTGAGCAGAGCTTTTGTGCACAGATCTGCCAAGGACAGCAGCCACCCTTGCTGCTCACCTACTGTGTGCCAGCCCGAGTTGGACCCTTTCCACGCACCATCTCATCAAGTGTTCCCATTTCACAACTGAGCAAACTGAGGATAAGTGACTAACAGTGGCATCACTAGGGGGTGTGGGCCGCACTGGTGGACACTGTCAGAGGGGTGACACCAACATGACTGTCTATAAAATCTTAGAGCAGTGTTTCAGCAAAAACTTATTATTTTTTATAAAAATATCCCTGTTGTTGTTGTTATGTGCCGTCGAGTCGGCCCCGACTCATAGAGACCCCTCCTTGGGTTTCTGAGGCAGTATCACTACGGAAGTAGGATTGCCCAACCTTCCTTCTGAGGAGTGGCTGGTGGATTTGAACCGCCAGCCGTCTGGTTAGCAGGCAAGTGTCTTAGCCACTATGCTACCAGAGCTCCCAAAAATATCCCTACAGTTATAAAAACAAAAACATTTTTTGGTAAGTCAAGCCTACAAGACCAAAACTCTACCTGACTTAGTTACAAGTGAATCTTGTAATTCACTCTGGTCAGAGCCGCCATTATTACACAGTTACAATGATGCTTCGAATCATGGGATTTCATCTGCACACACTAGTGTAATTTAAAGGTGCACAGGCATACCCCGTTTTATTGTGCTTCACAGAGGCTGTTTTTTTTTTTTTTTTTTTAAATAAATTGAAGGTTTGTGGCAACCCTGCATCCAGCAAGATCATTGGCACCATTCTTCCAACAGCATGTGCCCACTCTGTCTCATTTTGATAATTCTCACAACACTTCAAACTTTTATAATGCTATTGCATACTTAATAGATTACAATATAGTGTAAATACAAATTTACATATACTGGAAAAAATTTGTGTAACTCGCTTTATTGGGGTATTTGCTTTATTGCAGCAGTCTGGAACCCACAATATCTCTGAGGTCTGCCTGCAATTTTCATTTTGCTATTTCTTGATGTCACTACTGTTGCCACGACATTCAGTGGTATTGGAAATTACAAGTTACAAGTAACACTAGTACAAGAAAACATTACTAAAGCTTCCCTATGGTCTGGTATGGGAGGGGTCCATGGGGGTGCGGTGTGACATGAGTTACCGCACTGGGTGACACCAGCCCTAGTGACACCACTGGTGAGCAGGCCATGGTTCCCCGCTAATAAGTGTTGGAGCCAGGGTCGCACGGGTGTCCGCGCTGACTCACCCTGGGTGGTTCTTCCCGGACGAGCTGTCAGGCGTGCTCTGGGAGCGTGTTAGGCTCCACCCTGAGGCGCCAGCCCAGAGCTGCCCAATCAGAACTTCGGAGGGCGGGCCCAGCAATCAGTGGCTTAGCAAGGCCTGCAGGTGATTCTGATGTTTGACTCACATCTCTTTGCTTCCCTGCTAATCTCTTGTGGAGACAGCTAATGGGGAGCTCAGTCTGGGGGAAGGCTGGGCCCCAGGAAGGGGGACTGACGGCCAGAGAGGCCTCCTGCAGCCTCCAGCCCTGTCCCCATAAAGGTCTTCTCGGAATTCAGGGGTTCACTTGTCAGTCAGAGGCGGCTGCGTCCTAGCCTGCCCCTTCCTCACTTTGGGGCTCACTCTACAGCTCCCCAGCAGAACCGGGCTCTGTGCAGGGAACCCCATAGTGGAACCTGGGAAGCCTAAAGCTGGTCTAGGGGACTAGGGAGCCCCGCAGTTGCCCCAGAAGCTCGTGGACTCCGGAGCCAAGGGCGTATTTTGGTGGTCACCTATCCTGGCTCCAGAGCACAGCTCATGTCCTTGTTGTACCTGCACCAAAGCCTTTGGTGGGTCGCGCTGACCCAGCGGCTCTGGGGTTGCTCGATCCATTCACCACCAACCAGACCCGTGGCATCGTCAGCACCTCCCCACCACTTGTTTCTCACAGAACAAGAAACAGGTTTAGAGGCATTAATGTGTCCATCTAAAGAGTTAGAGGAGGGCGAAAAGGAAAGCTGGGTCGCTCCGGAAGTCCAAACCCCGGGGTTCTAGGGGCAGCAGGAGCAGGCAACCAGCCCGGCGCCGCCAGGTGGCAGTCTGGCAGGAGGGAGGAGGCCCCACTGACGCGCGGGCCCCTGTCCTCCCTAATTGGGACCAACGTACGGGCGGAGTCAGGCAGCCCCGCCGGAGGCCGGGCAGGCTGCGCTTCCCTGCGTCGCCACCAGGTGGCGGCCCCAGACCGCGCGAGCCCCGCGCTCCGGAGCCAGCAGGTGGCGCGTCCGCAGCTCCTGGCCAGGCAGCTGTACTGTTGGCCAAAGAGATGCCTTGGACTCTGGACCCCTCTGTGGCTCATGGAGGGGGGAACACCTCCGATAGCTGTGCCTTGTCCCTTTCCATCCCATTCTCACACCCACCCCGCGTCTGCCGGTGGCACCCGGGCTGCTGGAGCAAGCATGTAGTCTCCCAGTCTCAAAAGGAAGCCGAGTTTGGTGAAGGAGTCAGGCTAATAGATGTCCCCAGGTTTGCTGCACCCTCACTGCTGTCCACAGAGCCCTCAAGGAGTAGAGAGGTGTGTGGAGTCAGAAAAAGTGAGCCTGAGACCTGGCTTTGCTGTGTGACTTCAAGTGGCTTGACCTCTCTGAGCTCCTTTTTCTCTTCAGATGTACTAAATTCATCTCTAAGGCTTTCCTACTGCCCCTCCACTGTACCCCAGAGGTGGGTGATGTGTACCTGTGTCTGTCTCTACCCCTTGGGGCTCTGGGGATGGGCTGGGAAGATGTGAGGGGGCAAAGGAAGGGGAGAGATTCCAGACTGGGGCAGGGGCACTTCTGGGAAGGAGAATGGGGTAGGGCCCCTGGGAAGGGAGGACACACATGGTCTGGAACCTGCCCACAGCACTCCCCATCCACAGGACCCCTGGCCCAAAGATTAGCAGATGTGCCCTGAGGGTCTGCAGCACCCCTGGGGATGAAAGCCCAGGCTTCAGTGCTGGCAGTTATTTACTGACTGTGTGGCCTTGGGCAAGTTCCTTAACCTCTCTGAGCCTCAGTCTGTTCCCAGCAGACCTGGAATGTACTCCAGCCTCACTAAACGCACTCAGACCGACTGCTATGGGGTCTATAAACAAGCCAAAGCCTGGGTCAAGGCTGGGCGAACCCTGTCCCAGGACTAACAGGTAGGAACAAAGCCAAGACATAGCCCTCACCTCCTGGGACACCATACTGGCTCCCCTGGGCTGCCCCACAGGCTGGGCCTGTACACAGCAGCCTATGGAGAAGGCCAGTGAGGGCTATGGCATGTTAATTATCTCTCTATCTCCAGGGCCTAACCTAGTGAATGAATGAATGAATGAATGAATGAATGGGTTCTCAGTGTCCTGCATAGTACTAGGTATAGTGGTGCTACTTGGGGACCCAGTAACCCCAGAGGGGCATGGGGACCTTCGAGTGACAAGTCCTGCTCAGCTTATATCAGTGCCTGAAATTTTACCACTGTGTCACAGCCATTTGACAAGAGATACCTTGTTAATAAGGTCCCTCCACACTGACCACCAGCCTCCCTGCAGAGTGTAGGACCTCAGGCAGATTGTACAAAGCTGGGCTGGACCACGGAGTCACCTGGGAGCTTCTTTCTAGGATATGCAGATGCTGGGCCCACCTGAAGCTGCCCCATCAGAAGCTCTGGGAGTGATGCCCGGGAGGTCTGGGTTGTGGGTGGGTGCCATGGTTTTGCCTTTTGCTTCTCCAACTGCTGGGTGATTCTCCCCACGGTGGGGATGAGAACGTCTGCTTAAGGAGAGGGCTGGAGACAAGTAGGCTCGGGAGGAGAGGAGATGGGGAAGGCCTTGTGCTTCCTGGAGGGGACTGTTGGGGACATAGAGACTGGGGTCCAGGAGACCTGGTGTTCCCCTGCCCTCCCAAATGACCTCAGACAAGTAGCAGCCTGCTTCTGCGTGTCTGTCCAGAGAGGAGGGGATTGGCATGTGGTCCTGCTGACCCCACAGTTTGGGGCTGGCACCTTGTGACCAACAGAGTAGCTATTGCTTTGATGGGTAGGATGTAGCAGGTGCCCTGGTCCCCAGGGCACTGATGGTGGCATGTGGGCTCTGTTGTGTGCCTTGTTCCTCCCCATCTCAGTGGTACTGGCTCCAGCTTTCCTGGGATCCAGCCAAGTAACTGCCTGGGAGCAGTGTCGGCTCCGCCTCTGTCTCCCTCCCACTCTCATTGGAGAGGCATGTGGGCTGCGTGTAAGAAGCCACGGTCCTGAGCGTATGTCCCAGAGGGTCCACTAGGGACAGCATTTGTATGTTTTAGAAGTTCCCTGGGACTTCAATTGCCGGTTCATGCATTCGTTCATCCACAGCCTTTGTTGAATGACTGCTGTGTGCCAGGTACTGGAGGGACAGCCCTTAAGGGGGTTGCACTGGGATGCACAGGTGCATGGGTGTTCGCACGTGTTTGCTGGGTGAAAGCACATCCAATAGGCAGTCTGGACCCAGGCCCCCTCACCCCCTACCTCATGGATGACAGGTGCTCAGGCTGAGCTGGCTTCTTCCCCCCTCCCACTTGGCCCCTGGGCCCTCCGCCCCACCCAGCTTTCCAGAAGGCACCCACGCCTGAGAGCAGGCTGTCTGGGGTGGGAGTGGCCTGGGCAGCTCGGCTGTTGCCATGGGGACCGATGCGCCTCTCTATTCTGCAGTGAACTTTGAAGTTGACTTAGATACAGGGCAACAAAGGAAGCTTCAGCCTTGGATGCAAATGGTGGCTCCTTTGAATCCTTCAGCCCCTTTGCTGCACTTGCCATTTAGATCAGAGGAGAAGCCCTTTAATGCTGGAAATTCAAAACGTGACCAATTAGGGGCCCTCTTTGAGGTTCAAACCCTTCATCAGTCTCTTCAAAAAGCCGGTGCACTCATAGGAACTCATAGGAACGAGACGGCTGGGGAAAAGCTGGCAGCATGGGCCTTGGTGACTCCCTGATACCACTTACCCAGCAAACACCGACCGAGCTCCGGGGTAGGCACTGGGGATTCAGGGCACAAGACTAGTGGGGTCTCTGTTCTCCCAGAGCGCACGTGCCAGACTGCTGCTCTGTGCCTCAGTTTCCCCATTGTACAACAGGGGGGCTGCCATAGCCATGGGGAGTTTTCTGTCTTCCTTCCTTCCCTCTTTCTTTTTCTTTTTCTTTTTTTTTTTTGCTGAAAGGTGTAAGATTTTTGTCTTCACTCACTTTTTGCATATATATATGTCTGCATTCACTTTTTGCACGTACACACACACGCACACATATACATGTAGTTACCATCTCCTGTGAAGCAGCCAGTGTAAACTATGGATGCCAATGGTCCCGTCTACTCAGTAAGAAGAGTGCTCTCTTTCCAGCACTCTCAGAGGCAAGATGCCAGTCCTCAGTCCTGGGCTTTAGGTTTTCATCCTAAATGCCACTTCGCTTGTGGCCCTACATGGCCTAACAGCCAGGAGAGCCTACAGTCCTCTTAGCTGTCACCATCGCAAAACATTGCAGCTGGAGAAAGCCTTCCAGAATCCTTGGCCAATGGTTTTCACACACACATACATCTTTTTTAAAGTTACGAGCTTCTTTCTTCAAACAATATGTTACAGGGAAGTGGACCCTATAAAGCACAGCATAGCAAATCTACTCAGGCCAAGACAGGGGTGGGAGACACAGAACTTCGCCTGGTCCCAGAAAAGGCTAAATGAAAATCTGTTACAAGGAAACCCCCTGGGGTCTGCCCTCTCCCCAGCTGCACCGTGCATGCACAGAGCACAGCTGTCTGCTGAAGGAACATTCTTATGAGGAGCTGAGGGCCCTGGCGCTGCTACTCGTTCTGAGTCTTCTCTTGACTCAGCCTAGTGGGCAGTGCCCAAGGTGGCCGTCAGCCACCTCCTTTCTTTTCCTCCTGACCTCCCTCTCTCCTTCCTTCCCAAGACGTGACTGCTGGAATTAGGCCCCAATTACCAAGATGACTTGAATCTTTCCCAGAAGCCGTTTCCATGGTCTGGGCAAGGAAGTGGGAAGCAGGTCGGGACAGGGTACTCGACTGACTGTCTCTTGTCTTGAGGAGTTACAGGAAAGCCTTATTAATACAGCAAAGCCAGACAATCTCATTGAGGACCGAATCATGGTGCCTGGGTCCCCTCCAGGTCCAGCCCCATATTTTTACCCTCAGGCCGAGTCTTCTCTCAGTTGTTTATTTAGGACAAGGCAAACAGGGATTCTGGGTTGAGAAAAGCTTCTGTGAAAACATCGTGAAGATGGGGGAGCTGTCCCACCACGTGCTGGGTGCTGTTGAAACCTTGTCCTCTTGAGTCTTCACCACCAGCTCCCTCAGAGAGTAGAGGCTAGGTCGGATTTACCCAGCATGTCCTGGGCACCCCAGAAGCCTGCAGGGGACGGGGGTCACTTAGGACAGGGGGCCTCTCAGCTTCTCAGATTTGTGGAGCCGCCTCTTTCCTGAGATTTCGGGAGTTCGGCGTCACCAGCATGACTCCGGGAAGGGGCTGGTCGGCAGGCCCACGTGTCACAGTCACTGCACCTGCTAGTCCAGCTGCCACAGCCTGAGGACTGGCCTCCACGCAGATGCTGCTGAAACATTGCAGAAGAAATGGCATCTGTGTGTGTGGGTCTCAACACGGTGGCTCTCATCCACCGACACTCTGGGTCTGTGATGTTTACAGTTGAGGGGAAGTCTACAGACAGCAAGAGGAGAGTCCGCTTCTGAGGGGAACACACACACACACACACACGGCCTTCTCAGATGTCATCTTTAGGGCTTCTGTACCCTCAACTTAAGAGGAAGATGGTCAACACTGTCCAGACTAGTCGTTCTGAGGAAGACCTGCTGGCCATGACAGCCACACACAGGTGGGCTTCTGAGGGCTGGGACACCCCGTTTGGGCTCTTTCCAAAGCAGAGGCCTCTTGCCCTTCTTGGGTGGGTAGGTATTGATGTCCCTGGCCTTCAGGGTGGCTCCCACCTGAGGTGACAACCCTGTTTTGCTCAGGCCCCAAGGACCAATAGTCCCCACTTTCCATCCCCCCACTGTGTCCACCCCAGTCCCCTTGGAGCCAGGACTTTGGCTTGAATCCTCCTTGTCCCTCCTCAGCCCCCAGTCACCTGCCCCTACCAGAAACAGAAATGGGTATTTAAAATGGACACTACCCAAAGTGGAAAATGTCCTGCTCTTTGACGCAGCCATGCCAAAGCTAGGAATTTTCCTGAAGGTGATCATTGATACATATGAAAAGGTGTGGCCATAAGGATCGCTCACTGTCCCTGGTTTCAAGTCTTTTGGGTATACACCTAGGAGTGGAATTGTTAGGTCATATGTTCTCTGCATTTAACTTTCTGAGGAACCACCAAACTGTTATCCACAGCAGCTACGCCATTTTATTGGGTATTATTCTTCACACCACATACATGAGTTATGTGCCCTTTTGAATGTGCATCTCATAATAAAAGCATAAGAAAAAAGGCATTATTAGCACTTTGTGGTGCATAAAACTTCAAAACCTATGGGAAGTCATAAAATTCCAAGAGGAAAGTAAAAATCTTCACCCTGAACTGTACCTTCAGTCCCTAGAAATAATCAGTCAGCACTTTGGTGGGTAACCACCCAGAAGAGGTCTGCATTGCCCAGTAGCACATGTATGTACAGACTTTGCAATTAATGTCTTTGTCTGAATATGTCGAATCATACCAGGCATATTGTCCTGTGAGTTCTGGTTTTGTCTGAAAGATTTCTCTTTGGTTGACACCAAGCCATCTTAAATGGCTGCTCGGTATTCCAATGTAAGGGTGATTATCACTTACTTTTGAAGACCCCTATGTTCAGACGTTCTGGAAGTTCCCAGGTTTTTCCTACTGCAATACCGCAGTCATACAAATATCTTGACATACAAATGCCTTAACTAATTTTCCAAGGCTTTCTTGCGCTTAACTATTTTCTCCCTTCCGGGGAGCTGGCAAACACTTGGGTTGTGGAAGGCACTCGGTCCCTCCATGCCGCCATTTTAAAGGAAGAATTTGTCTTCTGCTCTCCTCAGAGGAATTAAGGTTGCAAAATCTGGAACTTGACAAATGAGGCCCAGGAAGTCACCCTGTCAATAGCAGCTCGGGCCACCTGTACAGAAAGGGTAGACCAGAGCCTTCTGAAAGGACTCCCCGATGCGGGGAAGCTCTCTGCTCGGTGTGTTTTCTTTCTCCCTGTGATGTTAATCCGTGGTTTCGCAGGGAGACAACATCTTCTACAAGACAACAGTCGATGTAAATCCAATTTGAACATAATGACTGGATTTCTTTTCCCTCCGAGATGGTGATGGTGATTTCTCAGATGCCTTTTAGTTACAGACAAGTTTCTGAGCAAAATAATTAGGTTAGGGTCGTTGCCGCCTGCCCTACTGGGCACTGATTCTGCACTGAAGGCTCTTGCCCAGCAGATGTCTGGGTGCTCAGTCAGCACAGTGAGTGGGTGAAGACAGCCCTGGGCAGGAGGCTTGGGACCCTCTGCAGGGCTTCGTCCTGAGCTGAGGGCCCCTCCCAGAATTCTCTGCCTTTGAAGACCACCTGGTGGCACCTGCAGTGTCAGGCATTGTCTGCCCTCAACCAGGAAAGGCTAGGAGGCCCTCATCTCATACACGTGTGGCCTGGGGCAAGGCACAGTCCCTCTCTAGGCCTGGTGTCTTTTGTGTAAAAGGCAGACCTTAGACTGAATAGCCTCAAGGCCTGTTCTAGCACTGATGTTTTATTCCACATCCTTTTCCAACAAAAACTGACTGCACACTATAAACATGAGCCTGGCAGGTAAACTGTCTAACAGCCATGGTAGAAAAATAACAGCACAGATGAAATTATTTTTAATGTTATATTTTACTTAAGGAGCCTGGTTGTCTAGTGGTTAAGCACTCAGCTGCTAACCAAAAGGTCAGCAGTTCGAACCCACCAGCTCTGCAGAAGGATGTGGCACTCTGCTTTTGTAAAGATTTACAGCTTTGGAAACCCTAGGAGTCAGTTCTGCTCTGTCCTATAGGGTTGCTATGAGTTAGAATTGACTTGAGGGCAGTGGGTTATATTTTATTTAACCTAATTTATCTAAAATACTGCCATTTCAACATGTAAACAATATAATATCATTAACGAAACATTTTACATCTTTGTCATGGTAAGTCTTTGAAATGTGTGTATTTTACACTCACAGCACAACTCGATTCAGCCACATTCAAGTGTTCCATGGCCACCTGGGGCTAGTGGCTACCATTTTGAATAGTGCAGGGCTATACAGTCCATCCACTCTCTGAACAGATGAGGAACTGAGACTTGGAAGGCTAGGCAAGTCAGGTCTGGCCCCAGATTCCAGTCTGATGCTAGGTCTGTGGACTTCCTCTGTAGGTGGCACTGTGCAAGCTGCCCTGGGGAAATAGAAGAAGGAAACAACGTTTTCTGCCATCAAGGAGTTGATAGTTCAGTTGGGGGGTCGGGGGACAGTTGAGGAGGGAAGGGAGAAGAGTGGGCCTAGGTGAACTGATTAGTGAACAATGCAAGCTGGCAGATGCTTTCCTGGGGAACAGACTATCAGGACATGATGTGTTCTGAGAAGCAGACACCTAGGAGTGCTGCAACGGTCACTCACGGCTTGACTTCTGTGACAGAGAGAGGACTGGAGTTGGGCTCTAGGGCTGGGAGAAGGATGAGGAGAACCGCATGAGTGGTGGCTGTTTCTGAGGCAGTGAGGGGTCAGTCAGATCAGAGCCAAACCAAAACCAAACCTACACCATCATGTCATTTCCCACTCCCCGTGACCATGCAGGACAGAGTAGAACTGCCCCAAAGGGTTTTCAAGGCTATAAATCTTTGTGGAAGCAGACTGCCACATCTTTCTCCCACAGAACAGCTAATAAGTTCGAACCACTGACCTTTCAGTTAGCAACCAAGCACTCAACCAGTGAGCCACAAGGCATCCCTCAGAGTGGAAGGTGGGATTTCAGATCCAGGTAGAAGTGTTGAGTTGTGAGGTATTAAGAAGCCTCTTAGGTTCTTGGGCTGCAGAGGGAGGGGCCCATGAGGTTCATGGAGATCCTGAGTCACTAATGGGTTGGAGGTGGCACCTGGTCCTGGGGAGGCCAGCTAGGAGGCTGCTGGAGCAGCAGGAGGTAGTGACAGGGCCAGGAGGGAGGGGAACGGAAAATGAAGGGTCGAAGAGAGGAGTCATTTGACAGAGTCGGAGGAAGCTGGTGCCATGGCTGTGGACCTTCAGCTTTGAGTGTAAAGGTGTCCATGTGATGATGTCTGGACATTTTGCTCTGGCTGGGCTCCTCTGGCCAAGGATAGGTGAGGGGATCTGCCTAAGCAAAGACTCGGAGTCAGGAAGGAACATAGAACCATGGATTGGGAGGGTGGTGGGGTGCTGCAGGTAACTTCTAGGGGAGAGAGGGGGCATCAATGATCCAGTTATTTGGGGCAGAGACAGCAATCCCTTGTTGCATCATGAATCAAGTGGGGTTTCGGTCTGTTGGTGGGATGATGGGAAAGGGATTTTGCAAGCCGAAGCAGGTAGGAGAGGTGAATGCTTCTATAAGGAGAGGAAGAGGATGGGTACTCCAGGCAGATGAAATCATGCATGCAAAGGTATGGCAGCCGGCCTGGGCAGAGTTTACCCCTGGGCCCTCGAGGAGTCGGGCAGTGGGGACCGAGGTCCCATGGGGAGAACTGTCAATTGAGGAAATGAGTCTAGCACAGTGTGGAGCTCTGAGGGTGCAGGTGAGCAAAGCCAATGGCCCTGCCCACCCTAAGCTTCCAGGAGGGAGGGACGGAGAAACCAGACATCAATCACAATCACATTAGTGCAATGTGGGTATAACGAGAAGTGCCAGGAATGAGGGATTTAGGGCCCTATCAATACAGGATGGGGACGATTGTACGGAGGCCAGGGAAGACCTCCTTGAGAAGAAATATTTGACCTGAGATGTAAAGGCTAATGGGCAATTAACTAGATAAACAAAGGAAGGGGGAAGGGCATCTCAGGCAGCAAGACCCACCGAGCAAAGGTCCTGGGGTAGGAAGGAGAGCGGTGTGTATGGAGAGCAGATGGAAGACTAGGACTGAGGAAGCAACAACTAGACCAAGAGTGAGAGGAAGAGCTTCCTAGGCAGAAGGAAGAGAGTATACAAAGTGGTGAGGCAAAGAACCCTTACTACAAGGAGCCCATTGTGGCCGGGAAGGCAGGCAGGGGCCAGTGGTTTAAGAGGAGGTGTGGACGCTGCAGGACCTCCCAGGCCAGGGCTCCTCTGGCTAGAGTGTTAGGACCCAGGGGGTACATGATGATCTCTGAACCATGCGCCAGCCCAGATAATCAGAAAGGAATCTGATTCTAGGTCATAGGGAATAGGGGAATGTGGCCTGTGATGTGAAGAGAGTGGCTGGGCCACGTGGAAAACACTTGACGTTATCCAGGTGCAGGGCTACCTGGGGGTTTTAGGGAGGGTGTGGTGTGACTACATGAGTATTCTGGGCTTTCCGCACTGGTAAGGAGGGTGGACTGTGGGCAGCCAGGTGGGCATCTAAGCAGTTGTTGGGGGGCAATAATAGCCCAGGTAAGAGAGGAGATCGAGGCCACATAAAGCTAATCACAGCTGGCTGGCTCCGCTGCAGGCTCCGATTACAGCAAATGTCCTCAGAAAGGGGAGTGATTTTATTAAAGTGGCCAAACCTGGAGACCCACATGGTTCAGATAACGGTATGAGGCCAGTTAATCCAGTGATTGAATTATTCATTTAGAGCCTCTAGGTCTTAATTTCATTGGCAGTCAGCAAAGCATCCTTCAAGTAAATTGACATTGGCTTTGCCATTACCTCTTACGCCCAGAACAGTCCATTTGGTTCAGTTTTATAGAGAAAAGGTCCTTTTGTGGTGCAGATGCAGAAGAACTCAGAAAAGCATGAGAATGGGATACTGTTTTGTTTTTAAACGTAGCCTCATTATTTATACGCTGATTAAACTACTGGAAGAAGTGAGTACAAAAACACCTCTAACTGAGCAAGGCCTGAGGCCTCCTGTGAGTACGTGACAACAATGTGAGGTCTGCTTCTGTTCAGTTCAGTCAGTGATGTCACCAGGAGAGCTGGAGGAGGGGAGCTGTTGGGCAGTGGGAGGGGTGCAGACCGTACCAGGTGACACTGTAAGAGAGGGTGACACCAAAATGACTGTCTGAAAGTTTTTGTGCAGTATTTCAGCAAAAACTTACTATTTTTTT